CCCGGCCCCCGGCTCAAAAAGGTTGCCTACCCCTGATTTAGATAGTGAAAGAAATTGGGACTGTCATGACTTTCATATAATAAAACAAAATCACAGACAGAAGCTGAGACCTGAAGTCCCCCTAATCTGTTTCCTTCTTTCACATTTAAATCAACAAGGGACTGCATAGATTTCAGCTGGGTTGTGCCTGGGGTTCTTAACATTATGATGGAAAACAACTTATTTTGCTTTAAACCTTAGGCTATCTTTCAATTCTGTCACAGTGTGGGCTAAGTAGAGTGTATCTGAGAAGAGATTATTCCCATCAACAGACTTCTAATTCATTCCAACATTAGAAAGAGCTCATGTTTTAAACCTGGCCTGATACAAATTTGAAAATGAAAGTTCCATCCAACCTCTACTGTTCTCATTATCATGTAAAGTAAAAGGAGCCTTCTGAATTGAGAGGCTTTTAGCTGAACTCAAATGATTTTAATACTCAAAGTTGTTCAAAGACTACTTCATGTCTGCTTCTGAACACTCTTCTTGAAAGGCATCTCAAATAGTATTAACAACCTTTTAGATTAATGTGAGATATTATTGTATCACCATTAACTCTATAAATAAGATGTCTTGGAAAAGAATAGGTCTTATATCATATCATCCATTTCCTCCCTGTCTCTCATACATTCTAGAAAGATGCTCAGTTGACAACTGGGTACAGAACTGGGTACAGAACTAAAAGCAATAACATACCAGTCTCAAGACTGATGAAAAACTGAATGTTCTGTATCTTAATTTACATGTTTTATGTAAGCAAAATGCATTTTTCATGAGAAACGTTATTTCTAGAAACCAGCCTTCTTATATTAAGTTGACAGATACATACCCCAAGGATATACTGACAGGAGTGAGGTTCCAACATATAAACAGTTACAGCGTGGGGAGAATCAGATTCCTTGCACCTTAAAGACAGAAGAGGCTGTTAGCAAGTGTCTCAGACTAAAAAAAAATGGTTCCTTTTTAAAACAGGCAACACCCAGGCCCAAGGTCTTCTTTTATTCATTCACCTCAAACACAGTCCTGATGATATTTAAAGACTAGGTGCAACACTGGCATAATGCTACACTTTGCAACATGTCCTTGTCTAGCTCTTTATACATGGCATTTTAAGCATCAATACATTGGCACAGAAAGACATCAGTCTGGATTGCCATACCATGAAATCAGCAATGTGGATATAAAGAGACAAACTAAAATGGCCTCTTAAAAAAAAATGTCTTCCTTGGCTTGCAAACCATCACTGGTCCACAGGGAGTAGCAATGATGTAAACAAGCCCATCCAAAACAGAGTAATTTCAAAGAAAAAACTTACTTCAATTTCACTGTCACCTGTCGAGGTCTGTCAGTTAAATCACAAATGTCTCCATTTCCATAGTAGTGTGACACCATTCTGTTAAGGGATTTCCAAAATAGAGTTAATTGTAGCTGAACACTTTTGTAACTCACAGAATAGGCAACAAGAGATGCAGCTCCTCATCCTCAATCATCTATAGAACTATTAGAAGCATACAAGCCAGATTACAGCTAGTACTGAATTTCACATAAAAACCTCTGAAAAAAATATTTGTGAACAAATAAAGAATGAGACCATGTTCTGCACTTGGTTTTGCTTTGGAGCTTGGAAATTCCTCCTGTTGCTCTAAGATCCCATCTGTAGCCCTGTTTTCTGCATTGAGGCTCTCTGCTTAACCACCCCAAATGCCCCAAACTACAGCAAATCAACTCAGAAGTGAGTTGAAGTCCTTTTCTGCTTTTGAAACAGGAATTAAAATAAAAATGTTAAACAGTACAGTGTTGGCAGTAGCTGAAACACATTTAAAAGGAGGGTTTTGTTTTTTTTGCTTGAAAAATAGTGGTGCAGGGAAGGGTGAGGAGCAATTGTCTTGTTGCAATAGGAATTTTGCAACATTCTGCACCACCCACTCATCCAGCGAAAGGGAACAAGGGAGCTTCACTTCCCTGATTGGCAAAGAAATGAGGACACTAAGTAATAATAATAATAATAATAATAATAATAATAATAATAATAATAATAAGTAACAGGCACATCATGAGAAGTTGCCACTTGGTACATAGCCCTGTGTTGAATTTATTTTCATGTGTATGTGAGTTAAGGAAGTTGGTTGACTTGACTTGAACAGGAGGTATTATCTCACCTTTTCTAAGGAACCCAAAGAGGTCTGGCATAACACTGCCCTGCACTTGGCATGCAATCTTTGAAGATCTCATTAATCTGAAATTTGAGTTTGTAGTAGATAGCAGGGCCAAGAATGTCTGAGCCAACAAAACCAGAGCTATGTGTTGCTGCTTCTCCTCTTGTCATCACTGCCTGGTCACTTACCTTCTTCCTCAAAGGAGAAAGTGAATGAACCCAACAGTGGACAGCAGGAAGAAACAATAGGTGCCTCTACATGCTTGTTGTCTTCTTGCAAAAGCTGAAGCAAATGAGTGGTGATTGCTCACTTGCCTACCTGCCCTAGATGAGAAAAACTGCACTTTTAATAGCAGAGTGGAAATACCACACAATATTTATTCTTGCATGGTAGGGGGTTGGATTAGAAGGCCCTTGTGGTCCCTTCTAATCCTAAAATTTTTTGATTCTATTTTGAGCTTCCAGACTAAGGCCAAACAGTGTAGGGTAAAAACAACATGACTTTAAATTGATTTTAAGACCAGTAATAGAGCAAAATGGCAAACTCCCTGTCTACAGGGTTTTAGCTAAAAAATCAGCTCAAACATACTTCACTGTTTGCAGGCCATCATCTTTCAGGTGATATGTTCTAGCCACATTTTTTTGTGCCCACTCAAGGTGTTCCTCCTTGTTCCATGTGCCCACAACTATAGTTGTTTTGCCATTTTCTTTATCCTAAAAATAAAATTTTAAGACATTGTTAATTTATTAAAGGTTTCTCACTGGTGACACTTCATCCACATGCATAATTAATTTATTATTGTTATTTCTATACCTTCAACATAAATTCCCAGAGCAATTAAAACAGGAACCAGTATTCAAGCTCTTGTGAAAGGCCACCATGTGATTCATTAACCCAGGAAAGTACGCATGTTCCTCCACATTCGCTGGGGTTAGGGGCACAGGACCCCCATCAATGTGGAAAAACCACAAACAACAAAAACACTGTTTTTATCTGAGAGAACACCTCTCTAGGAATCTCTAGTTCCTCTAGTGCAACTCTGTGGTCAACATATGCCAGACACTGACCACAGATCTGTGCTGAAGGAGCTACAAATGCCTAGTGGAATATTCTCTCTAGGAATTCCAGGTCCTTCAGTGCAACTTTTGGTTAAAGTAGACTATAGAGTTGCGCTGGAGGACCTAGATATTCCTAGAGAGAACTTATTAATAAAATCCATGAATAATCAAATCTGCAAAAGTCAAAGCCACAAATGTGGAAGGATGAATGTACTTGAAAAAATGCTATAAACTATCAGTTTCCCACACAGAGTGGCACATAAGCATGCAATGTGGTGTGCAATTACAAGATTATGGGTACCACATGGCTCTCAAAGAGGAAAAGTAATCTTTATGGTGGCTCTTCCATGGCCCAAATGGCTGTATGCTTTCTGCATAGAAGGAAGCCTGACTTTACAATCCTTGAAGGGCCCTCCATGAATACATCAGAATAGACATAAGTAAGCATGAAACTTCTCACTGAAAGGAATGGGACCTCTGCACAGCTACACCTGCACACTTGATCAGCTCCCATTCATTCAAATCCTGCTAGTGCAAGAAGAGAACATCCCACTGGATTCTAGTCAAATTATTATAATTTCTCTCCTAGCATTTACTATATTATAAGGCAGAATTTAGCGAGTTTAGCAATCCATGTGCTATGCTATTACAGACATCCTTGCTATGTGCATGATATGTAGAAATTAATATAACTTCTTCCTGTCATTTCTCCAGTTTGGGATTCAAGCCAGTTTGCAACAGTTAAAACTAACATAAGTTAAAAATGGACAGCTTAGAAAAGTTAGAAATCAACTAAACAATCATCAGGTTAAAACCAGTTAAAAACAAATAATTAAGTGACAACAACAACAACAACAACAACAACAACAACAATCAAGCACATTATAAAAAGCCCACTTCCCTGAAAAAAAATCAATTCTCACAGCTTGCAGAAATAAAAAGATTTTTGCATGTTTTCAGAAAGACAGTGAGGAGGGTGCCCGTCTAATCTCTCTAGGAAAAGTGTTCAGGAGCCTGGGAGAAG